AAAAAAAAAAAGTGATAAAACATTAAGTCAAAAAACATCCTCTCCCATTCTGTTTCTCAATAACGGGATACAAAGCTACAGGAAATCAACCACTTTCTTCCTGAGCTCCTAGTGGGCAGCCCGTCCTAATTCCTTAGGTGAATTCACTGCAGATGAAATGGTGAGCTTGATAAAGGGGGTTGGGGGAGGGTCTCAATGGACTCAAGAGAAGCTCTATTCTGCCAACACTTAAGCTCCCTCAAGAGACAAGGAAAATAGGGCTGGAATTGTGGCTCAGCAGTAGAGCGCTCACCTAGCACAGGCAGGACCCGGGTTCGATCCTCAGCACCACATAAAAATAAAATGCATTGTGTTGTGTCCATCTACACCAAAAAATAAATATTAAAAAAAAAAAACAAGGAAAATAACTCTTTTTGCAGGTTAGTATTATCAAGCTACAAACAAAAACTTTATACCTTACCTTCTAGACTAATAAGGGTTAAGGATTTCTCATGATTGGCATGATTCCAAAATCAGCAAGTCCCAAAGATCTCCCTGGTCCACTGTAGCATACTTTGGAGTTAACATCAAAGAACTGGCTGGTCCCCAGCGCTGCTATGGAGTACTATGATCCCAGGATTCCCACACCTACTGCACATCTGCTGCACATCTGAGGCCCTTGATAAAAACGTATGTTTTCATGTTTATCAAGATTGCATTTTATTGTATGTATGATAAATTTTTTTAAATTATTTTAGACCCTTCTGCATGAAAGGGGGGTGGGGTGGGTTGGAGACAATTTTTAAAACATCTTACAACCACAGCTCTGGATTACATCACATATGCTTTCCCCCAGTCCCAAAACGGGGATCAAGAACATTCTTGGTCTAAAATCAGATACCTAGAATCAAAACCAGCTCTAGGCTGGTAGAATGCTCAGTAGCAGAGCAGTTATATAGTAAGTTCATGGCCCTGGGTTCCATCCTGAACACTGAAAAAAAAACCTCCATCACTAACTCAATAAGGCCTGGCCTTGGACAAAGGGACAATTTCACTGAGCCTTTTCCTCATCTAGAAACTTGGAATTAAAAAAAAAAAAAACACCTACCTCACAGGGTATATAAGACCAAAGGGAGATGTTTATAAAATATCAAAACAAGCACTCAGAAAATGGTAGCTATAATGATCACTATTATCTTATTTCCATGGGGTATTTTTATTGTTGTTGTTGGCTTGTTTCGTTTTGCAGTG